TTTCTGTCTTCAGCATTCCAGGTAAACTTCTTTCATACAAAATTGATTCTCTGAGCCTCTCTTCAGTTTATTCTCATCTAACCTCCTTTCATACCTTTTTTGCAGTCCGTTTCATAGAAATTTGAGCTTCTCTCATTGCCATTTTATTTTGTTTGATTCTCATTTTTTATTCCTTCAATCAAATTCATTAGATTCAATTTATGACTTATAGCCTTGATACCACAATTTCTTTATTCTACTTAATTGCAGCCATTTTGTTCAACTTTTATATCAGCTGCGAGTTTTCTGTTTCAAATAAATATGTAACATTGCAATCAAATTAAAATGTACAAATTTCTGACATATATAGATACATAGCTGTGTATTTGTACAGCAACCCCTCTTTAATATATGTTTCGTTGAACAAGACTGATAACGTATTTTTTTAGTATTTTTTTTTGTTTTTTTTTTATGCGTTCAAATGTTTTTAACTTAATGAATGGGAATATTGTCTAAATGTTAGTTGATTCCGAGCGCCTTCGACTAAACTTCTAACCATTTTTAAGGATTTTAAATGAAGGGTGTAGGTTTTCTAATTTACGACTGAAGTTTGACAAGGTAGATATAAATTAATTCTATAGAAACACGACGAATTTTATAAAACAGTTCATTGACAAAAACATTTATATATGCCAATTCTTAAAATGTGAACTAAAAAGAAATAACAGAGATTAAATATTAAAATATTCATCTAAAAGTTGTAATGCAAATTAAATGTTACTGCTTATGTTGTAAATTCTATTTGTTAGTAATATGTATGACAAAATGTTTGTAGACTGAATGTTAGAGGTACCGGTTGGGCTGTTTTAGTCAATATAATGTGGAGATCGTTTTTTGTTTTTGTTTTGGTTTTTCTTTTGCGCCGTGTCCTTTCAGAATATTGATAATCATGACTCTCCACAACTTCCTATCGCAGATAAGAGGCTCGCTACCTTCCCATATCTTTTGGCTTCAATATGGCCCGTGAGAGTTAATTTTTGAATTTTCCTCATTACGTGTCCAAGGAATTTCAACTGGCTTTTCCTGATTTTGAGTATAAGCGTTCATTCTGTTGCCATTTTCTTTCAGATTTCTCTGCTGCAGTCCATGGAATTTTCAGTATCCTTCTTTAGAACCACATTTCTGCTGACTCTGAGTTCTTCTTCATCCGTGGGGTGATTGCCCATCATTCATTGTCTTATAAGATGATAGATATCACATAGCAATCAAGCACTCTTTTCTTTATTTCTAATGATGTTTCCTCTTTCTCAGCACCTTGCTTAGCTTTCAGAATGAATTCCGTGAATTTATAAAAGATGGTTCTAACTTTCAAATGAATTCTGCATTCTATAATGCAAGAACGATTCTGGTTTAATTTGACTAATTCATTGAGGAGGCAGGCTTGTCGATGAATTCGAATTCTTAGAACCTCCGGCCAAGCATGAGAGCGCTACATGGGTTGAAGCAGGTGTTACTCTGAATATAAGAGGTTTATGCAATATTTTGTGAATATTAAAACTTCCTATTACACCTTCATACCGATTTACACAACGCATTTGTCGCTGTTATGTACCTTGTCATGCGATAAATTAACCAATCGAAATCCTTGTCCCTACCCCCATCAAAAAAAAAGGAAAGAAAGTTTCTTTTCTCTTACGTTGCTTCATTCAAACAAGCCAGTTATTCATTGTCGTATTGTTCAATTACCATTTGTTCAGGCGCGGGAAAATCGTAGGAAACGATTTCTTTTTTACAGCAAACAACCCAGAGAAAAGAGTGAGCACCCATAGTATATTTTTCTTGGCAAGCTCAGACGAGCTTTTTTTTCCCCTGGTACTCTGAATACATAAAGTTAAGCGGTGGGATCTACATTGGTATCTAGGTCCCACCCTTTTACTCTTGAAATAGTTTAATGCAACCGACACTTCTCCTCCAAACAGTTTTTCTCGCACTTACCACCTGTAGAACACACTTCCGTTTCTTTTCTTCCCTGATAACTCCAACCTTCAAAAACTGAAATGGTATGTCAGTGGCCATCGTCTGTCTTCTTGAACTCTCTTCATCTGTTGTTCTTTCCTTAATCCTATCTATTCTCAGTCCTCTCTTTCACTCCCAGTAACCCACTACGTACTAGTGGAATTACTGCCTTGCTTGGAGTGAAAGGATTTAAAAAAAAAAGTGTTATCTAGATAATCTATACAGCCTTTAAAAACAAAGACAATTGTTTTATCATTTGCCTTGATTTTCGGATTTCATCGGACCGATAGCATTGTTTTGTTCTTCTCGATAATTTATAATAAATATATTGAACCTTTTAACTAACCATTCGAGACTCCAAGTAATAATTTTCAAGAGGCTTAGAAATATCTCTCTATTTAACTGTGTCTAAGAAAGCTTTTATAACTTCGATCTAAGATTAAGATGTTGATGAGAGGAGCCCATGCCAAAATCCATGTAATTGCTATGGCTTTTAGCAATTTTAATACCACTTAACATTTGGTGGTAGGCCCCAAAGCATCTGTTCAATAGCATGCAATGCCAATAATAACAGACAAGAATTGCACAAGGGGAGGCAGTATTGTTGTCAGTAAGGTATGTTAGAATCTATTCGTTTTATAGTTTAATCATAAGTGATGAACGGGTCATGTCATCTCAGCTGATTTAAGAAAATAAGTTCAGAAGGGAGAAAAAATTCCTTTCATCTTGTGGTCTTATCAGCGATAGAAATATACGGATAAAGTGAAAGAAAAGCAAAGGAAAGAATGAAAAGGTGAATAAAATTGCATAAAATGAAAAAAAAAAAAAAAGAGATGAAAACGTATAAAGATAAAAACGTGAAAGAAATCTAGAAAGAAAACCAAACGAACGAAATTAGAAAGACCAAAGGGGAAATCCTTAGATGAAAAAGAAATGTGCAAAGTAAAAGATTAATCAGGTAAAAATGACGGAGGTAAAATACGAAAAGCCAAAGAAAAAGAAATCAGTCTATCAAGGCCGAATGTAGTCGGAATCATAGAGTCCTTGTAAACTACACGTCCTTTCCTTAGCTACACCAGTACTACGTGAATTTTTAAATTCAGTTCTTCTTCTCTTAAAATGGCCGCCACCCAAGATTGGCGGCCATTTTAAGAGAAAAAGAACTGAAGACCCGTTTGAAAAGTCCGGTCTGCCCTACTATTTAACCCATAGCTGAAAAAAAAAGGAAAATTAGACAGTAATAAAAGAAACAAACAACAGAATCAGAAGAAGAAGAGAAAAATACATGGTGTGCGTGGATTATCGTTGTTTTCCAGTCTGGGATACTTTGGCCGGTCAAATGGTAGAAAAGCTTGATTATTCCATTAAGATGAAATCCAACATTATTTCTCCATTTAAAGTCGTGTACAAAGAACTCACCCTTTGTCTTCTAGCAAATACACACACTATTTCCCGTGTACACTTTCACATACAAGCAACCATAATGCGTGTCAGCTTTCCGTTGATGGTCATCACTTAAGGCAGTTTTTCTGGTGTTCGATTCTCATTCGATGGGAGTGCTGAGACTGACTGGAGTAAATTTAGTAAACATCTAAGAAGCACCCGAATCATAATCCATTTTCCTATGAATTGTACAGACATTAATACGTCACTGACGACCAGACATTTATAGAAGATCAATACCTCTTTCATTCGTCTTAGCACACATAACATTGCAATCCAATTAAAAAGTACAAGTCACTTATATATATACTTTTCTATTTGGGCAGCAAGCAATCTTTAATACATGTTTCATTGAACAAGACTATGAAGGTGCTTTTTCTTTCTTTTTTTAAATTGTTTTTTTTTTCTTGTATCGCTACCCGAGTTTTCTTTTCTAGTTTGAATGTATGTACAAAGTTTATCGATTAACAGTGCTTTGGGCAATTCTATTAATCATTTCTAGGATTTCACGTCAAAAATCTTCTTGGTAAACTCATACATTCTTATAGAAAAATGATTGGTTGATTCGTTTTATGTGCAATACCACAATAAAATGACGCTGCGATCCTGTGTGCCTTTTAAATCCAGCGTTTCTTTGAACAGGAAAATAGAAATATAAGATATTATCCCAAGCAACTGAACACAGAGACCCAAACCAGTAATTTTTTTTTTTTTTATCATGTAACTTTTAATTTGAGATTTTATGAATCACTTAGCTAACGATATTTTCGCCAAAAGTCACTTCTCTTTTCAACTCTCATAAAAAGTAAATAATATATTCTTCTGGAAGAATTATAATTTTAATACAGCTAACATGAATCTTTCTTCTAATTGACCGGTTTAGAGCTAGATTTGGCTAGTTCTTCTAGGACAAATAATAATAAAAAATAATTAGCAACAATTTTGAAGTATAACATATAACTTGAAAGTGGAAGTGTGAATTCGGGAAGACACGAAAAGAACTCTACTTTGTCTAGACTCCACATTGAACATACAAATCACAAACTCATACTGGGAGAGGAAGAACGGCATTACTTGCTGTGCATCATTTCCTAAACGAGTGTAATGATCTCATTATCTCCTGACAGCGATTATATAGCACAAACAGCACAAGGGATATATATGAAAATGACCTGTTATCATTCATAAAGGAAGTGTTTGTTTTTTTTACTTTAAAAAATTATTTATTTTATTGATTGATTAATTTTCTACGGTTTATCAACCCTTTGCAGGTTATTTAAAGCCAGAAAGTATTTTTAAATTATAAAAACTTTTTTTTTTTTTAATGGGGAGATGATAATGATTTATTAACACAAAAGGAAGGCATCAGCAATTGAATTAAATTTTTGGTTACTAGATAAAGCCGACAAGAACGTCTTACTAATTAACCCATAGGTAGGGGACAAGATGTGCATTCGTATCTTTCCTGGAGGTATTTGGGCGTAATTGAATATAACAAATCAAACTAGAATTGGAACGCTGATCTCCGATTAACAATTCCGAACCTTTATCCATTACACCACTTACAGCACCTGTTATTTCCCAGCGGTTACCCATCTAGATACTGACCAGGCTCGACGATGCTTATCTTAGGTGGTCGTACGAGAACCGGTGTTGTCAACGCGATATGGCTGTAAGCCAATATGGCCTCAGATAACCTTGAAAGAGAAATATGTCTTCTTGACATTTCAGGTGAAAATTTAGTTCCAATGAGTGCCTTTTGACATTTATAGAACGGGCTATATTTGTACTGGAAACAAACTAACAAAGGAACGTACAATCACAATTATGTAATTGCCGATTAAAACCTGTCAAGATTGGTTGAGTATGACATCTTTTATTTCTAATACACAGGAAAAGCAATTATAGGTGAATAGCTATCCCATACACCTCCCCCACTCTTTCTCTGGCGGCATACCAGCGATGAGACCTTTTATTACGATATCTAGCGATGAGACAGATTGTAAGGATATATGGTCTCCGGCGTTTTTAAGGAAATTAGTACGAAGTCGGTATCAGCAACGTCAGCCAGAATTCAATTTGTTCGCCGATAAATTTGTAATTTGTACAATCTTCATACTGACATACGCACAACTAGACACACAATCATCCTCATTATTAGACACTATAATCACTCCCGGTACCACGTGTGGTCGTAGGGGAGATGCACAGCTAAGAAGTCTCGGTTGTGTCTCAAGGTCTTGTTCCATGACGTTGCATGTAGATAGAGCGTCTGAGTAACAAGAAGCTCTTAAGGAAAATAGAAACTCAACGAAAACTTACAATTACAGTCAGAACGAGGCAATTTGAATTTCTAGAGCACATAATGAGGATAAATGGTGTAGAGAATATAACATTCACAGGACATAGTGAAGGAAATAGATGCAAAGGAAAACAGCAAGTAACCTACTTAACAAGTTTGTGTGAATGGATGGTAGAGCGAAACAAAATCGAGGAAGTTATGGAGAGCCATAATCTTAAAGGGCATAGTGCACAAAAGAAAACAAAATAGCATCTATCACATAGGTTTCTTTGGATAATTTGAGAACGTCATTATTATTTTGAAATACATTGTTCTTACATTTTGTCGACGGCATCTGACAGCAGTATTCTTCAACAGCGTACTATAGTTGTATCTGCGATTACAAAGTCTCTACTACAACGAGCATTACGAAAGTGACAACGAATATTCGTTAGCATCACAAAAGTGGGAACGAGTGTTCGTTGACACCTCAAAAACCTTTTCTAATGATACTTGCGCATAAGTAAATATACCCCGACTGGAAATGCAATTCGGCTTTCCGACTTTCAAATACAGAACCTTTATCCATAAACCCACCCTCACATCCACGCTTACAGCACTTAGTATTCCCAATCGGTTACCTATCTACATAATGTTGCTTAACTTCGGGAATCGGTGTTTCATTAACTCAGTTCGTTGTATTAATGACAAGAAATTCGAATATATTGACTCTATTTGGAGAAAATGACGAGAAAACTATTTGAGCGAAACATACTGGTGAAAATCTTCGTGGCCATATCGGTGACGATACTGTCAATGTAATGCAGGTCTTTTTTCAAGCATAATCTTTTTTCTTATCCCAGCTTCCTGTTTAATTAGATAATTGCAACTTAAGATTTACTTTAAAAAGCAGGTAAAAAATGAACTACAAAAAAATGATATACATAGTAATGTTGCAGCTAAGAAATTCGAAAACAATTACATGCTACTAGTTTTGGGTAGTAGGAAGACTTTCGTAGGGTTCATGCTAACGTATTGAAAACGAATGACTTTATTAACGTAATCCCGATAATTCTATATATATTCTTACGTCCATCGATAAGTCTAGAGCTTGAAGTTTTCACTGAATAATGTAATTAATATATATATATATATATATATATATATATATATATATATATATATATATATGTGTGTGTGTGTGTATTATTAATATGTATGTAATGTGCTATTAATATGCATATAATGTTTTATGTGTGTGTGTATGTGCTGCATCTTTACATAATGTTATATAAAGTTTTAGCAGGTTTGTCCAACGAAAAGATGGCATACGTTTTTATTTCAACGCTTGCAGAATGTGACAAAATATTTTACGAACCTTCATGCTGCGATCATAAAAATTGAGAGAATGTCACCTGCATATTCACGTCCCTAATGATCGACTCTATTTAAATAATTCTAACATTTTACTATAAAATCTACATCACATTACCGATTTATGCCAATTTATAAACAGATATTTTCAAATGGCTCTTACCTTCGACATTTGTCCTTTGTTTTTTAGGGATACAATAAATGAAATATGGCGTATATGTGGCCGTTAAATATTCATCAGATTTTTCATCTCGAAGTATATCATCACTGTTTTGAACACTGGGCAGAAGTTTTTTTTCTTCTATAGATCGTGGGTGGTCATAGGTCTCCACAACGTCCTGTAGCTCTAAGTAGCGTTTGATCCTTCACCTTCCTTGTCTGTTCCCGCTACATACAATCTTCTTAGTTAAATTACTCACTATTTTTCTCTATTTCTCTAGTATTTATAATAACTTCTGAGTATCGAGGTCTCAAAGCTTTCCTAACAATGTGTTTCAAATAATTCAACTCTGTCTTCCTGGTTTGCTTACGGCCATATCACGTTGAAAGTCATATAGAGCATGCTCGGTAGCTAGATGGGTCAGCACATGGCTGTACGCTCGGATGGTGCTTTTAATCGGCGAGCTGAGTTTCAATTCCAGTTAGGTTCGTTATATTGATTTACGCACAAATACCAGCGCGAAATGTATGAATCCACTTCTTCTGCTCCATCTATGGGTTAATTATTAAAACTCGTATAACTAAATCAATATTATCTCCAAAATCAAAATTATTACAACCTAAAATTATTATCTGATTTTAAATAATCTTCAAACTGTAGAATACGAGTCAATCAATCTCTTCCTGATTTTAAATGTCATTTTAGTAAGCCTTTTCTTTAAAACTTCCCAATTGTTCAGTTCATGGGATCCTCAGTGTCCCTCTTCTTCTTCTATGAGCCATGTCACTTCATGATGTTGGCGATCCTTGGTCTTCACATTTTTCTGTCTTTTGTAGCGCTTAGTAAATCCTAAGTCATGTTCTGACAATCATCTACACAAGTTCATTTAGGTTATGTGCTGTTTTCCTTGCCTTCAATATTCCATGTGAGTGTCGAATTTTGTAAGTCCTCTTTCTTCATTTTGTGCTTCTTTCTGATATTAATATTAAATGTCCTTTTTGTTTCCATTTTCTCTAAATCTCCGTCGTTGCTCACATGTGGTATTCTCGTCATCCTACTGTATAACCACCTTCAGAACTATATCTCTACCCTTTTGAGTCTCTTTATCATTTGTAAGAAAAACGTTTTGTAATCACTGTCGAATGAGGGGTCGATATGACATAGAAGTTTAGAGCTCTGTTCTATGTTTTGAAATAAATTTTTCTCTCTCTGAATTAATTTCTCTAGTTTCTCCTTTTACATTTAAAAGGAACCAAAATATTTTCCGTTTTTTTTTTTGGTTTTTTTTTTTTTGGTTTAACAGAAGTGTCACAGATATTTAGGTGGATGTGGCGGTAATGGAGAACAGGAAAAAGTAGACTTGTACTGTGCTACGCAGTGCTGTGTATTACGTGGAGTTATAGAGATCTCTATACGCAATGACCAAATGTCTGTCAGATTTAGAAACTGGATATTGTTGGCGGTAACGATCACAGTTGCGTAAATACGCTAGAAACGTTCCATATCCTATTGGCCAATTGATGGGATCGTCATCAGAAATCACGTGATCACTTGCCGCCCGGTTACCATTTGGTTGAAAGTAAACAGAATAGTAGAAAGTGCACTTAAAGTTGATAGGCTAACGTTTTGGGAAAGTAGACAATATTGGTGGCGATTTTTTTTTCTTTTCGGACCGTGGGTTGGGTGGACTTAAATGCCGAAACACGGTTAAATTTAGAAAAAAAAATATTGTCTGTGTGTATTGAACATAATCAATGAAATCAGGGAAACAACAAAAAAATAATCCACTCCTAAGACACCAGAAGAAAGAAAAATAAATCAGAAAATAATCCACCTCAACTGAACTGTTCTCGGAACCGGATGAGGATCACATAATAGCGTAAAACTTGGCATGAGGAAATTTGAATCTCTAACTTCTTGGGTTATGTTTGGTTTGGTTTGTTTTACGGCATATCAATCTCAGTGGATTATTTAATGTCGACAAAATTTTTTATTGTTGGTAATATTTTTTTTCAAAAATCTATTTTTGGTAATATCTTTTTCTTCAAAAATCTATTTCTGGTAACAATTTTCCTTCAAATATGTATCGCTGGTAATATTTCTTTTCAAAAATGTATTAGTCTTAATATTTTTAAAGATGTATTGCTGGTAATATTTTTTTAAGAAACGTATTTCGGGTATTAAAATATTTTTACACTTTCATAGAGTTTTGACCCTAGTTTGGGGGTTAACTATTTGGCCATAGCTGGGACCCTAACAGGTGCTACCACCCTTGGCTGGGGTTGACCTGAGAACACCAGCAATTAAGAGGTGGTTCCACACTCCTCAAAACCTCCTTACTGTTGCACGTAGTTTGTCGTCTTACCCAGGACGCGGATATAGTTTATCGTCTTACCCAGGGCCGTTCTTGGGTTATGTATGTATGTTTGTCCGAGTGGTTAGAACGTTTCTGTTCCGACTCGAGTTCGAATCACACTATGATTTTTTTTTTGTTGTTGTTTCTTTGTTTTTTTGGTTTTTTTTGTTTTTTTTTAGGAAGGTGACATTGATGTTATCAGCCTGGAGATAAGACCCCGGTTTTAGTTACCTTTAGAAAGTTCCTGAAAAAAAAAACACCAAAGGTTGACACAAGACCGACGAGTGAAATTGGGTAGATGGAACTATTCAGAAACCCACAATATTAGTGCTAGCACAAAGAACAAGTCATCGTGACCGATGGTTTTAGCATACTGACCTTGTTCAAATGTAGATGGAGTCAGATGATGAGCTCTCTTCCAGAAAGTGTTAGAAAGATCTGGTCAACATAGTTGCAGTATAAACGCCAGATGGGCTTTTGGGGTGTTGATAAAAACATACGATAT